AAGGTCACCTGATGAGCTCGACAAAGCGGCACCTGGATCGTAAAAATGCAAGCAGTCTCCTTGTGGATGTTTGGCCATTTTGAGCCGAGAGGTTAGGGTGTAGGGTTAAGGGTTTAGAGTTGCATGTCCATAAGGTATACATGAACCTACAAGTAGGGATTGGTGTCATGTTTGGGCTGTCATGGTATACATTCTATGATCGTTAGATACCATGAGCTTCATCTGGTGGAACTCCGTTATCGTGATACATGAGCTGACGTTCCCATACCCTTTGCTAGACCACTGCCTCAATTCCTTTGTTGATTTTTTTGGGATGCCCGTTTTTGTGATTGAAGAATTGCATAGTAGGAGCCATGAATCAGGCACCGCCAAAGGAAGGACGTGCAATTGAAGGTCAAGCTCTGCCAAGCCCTAAACCCTAAACCCTAAACCCTAAACCCTGCTGAAATGCCGAGGTTGGAACACGTGCTCGTGGTGCGATTGCCGGAGCGCGTAGGACCTTCAGATTGGTAAGGTTCGAGTTTCAGGGTTCAGGTTTATTTGGGGTTTAGGGTTTAGGGTTTAGGGTTTAGGGTTTAGGGCGCTTGGCCTTCCTAAGGATCCATATGGGAACCCTTGAAGGCCCCCCGGTAGATACTAGACTATGCGACCCTTACTTGCTGCTGGTTAGTATAGGGAGTGAGGGAAAAGGGTTTAGGGTTTTAGGGTTTGGGGTTTAGGGTTTAGGGTTTAGGGAATGAGGTACCCTATATTATGCCTTAAAGGGTATATATAGGGGCCTCATTCCCTCATTCCCTACTAAGCAACAGTAAGACTCAGCCGCCTGGAAGGTGACGTTTTCACGCACAGTGTGCCATGAACCCTGACCCTCAAGGTCCAACTATCGTGCTTATAGGCCGTATTGGGTTGCAAGCCCTGAACCCTAAAGCCCAAACCCTAAACCCGAAACCCTAAACCCTAAACTCTAAACCCTAAACCCCAACCCTAAACCCCAACCCTAAACCCGAAACCCTAAGCCCTAAACCCTAAACCGTAACCCTCAAACCCCTAAACCTTAAACCCCATTACATGGGTTCCAGCATTCGCCGAATCCCCAGGAGTCCTAAGGCTCGTTTCCGGGTTTTGGGTGTTTAGGGTGTTTAGGCATTGGTGTTGAGACCCGATTGGTTGAGGGTTTACGGTTTAGGGTTTAGGGTTTAGGGCTTCGGTTTTAGGGCTAGGGTTACGTGGTTCGGAGATGGCAGGGCAAGGCATGTTTTTGAGGAAGCAGGTTGCACCTCCGTATCCCCCACTCGCAAGCCACGCAACAGAACAGCAGTACCTGAAGACTCCAAAATCATAATACTGAGTTTAGGGTTCCGGGTGTAGCCCTAAGCCCTGAACCCTACGCCTTGCCTCAGCAAGTTTCCACGAAGGCTCAAAATTCCGTCAAAAGTCTCATCCCGAATATCCTGGAATAAGGCTCTGCACCCAGAGACTCCGATCTCGGACTCAACCCTAAACCCAAAGCCCTGAACCCTAAAACCCTGAACCCTACAAATCCCATGAACCCTGCACATGTAGCCTCAAGGGTATTCCTAAGCCCTAAACCTAGAAACCCTATAGCCTCGTGGGTATTGGGGCATATCTTGGGGGTGGAGGTTCATGGTACTTAGTTCAACCATAACTCTAACCCAATGATGACCCCAGTAGGGTACCCCTAAACCCTAAACCCTAAACCCTAAAGCCTAAGTTGGGTTACTAAGTACCCTGAACCTCCAAGTGGGGGTGGAGGTCACCTTTCGCGGTTGCCGTAGCCATGGATCGGCGCCAGAGACTGCTGAGGGCGCAGGGCGTGGCCCCAGCATGCAGAACACGATGGACTCTGGCTGTTGGGCCCCAAGCTCGGGTGGTTAAGGGTTTAGGGGTTTGGGATTTTAGGGTTTAGGGTTTAGGGTTTAGGGATGGGATCTGCTTCCCTGGGCGGGGTTCTTTTCAGGTACCTTGGGTACCTTGGTTCCATTTTGTTTTGTCGCCGCGCCTTCGGGGCTTTCCCGGAACTGACGCTTGGCAGCCGGCCCGACTTGAGAGAGGACTTCCAGCTGCTGCAACTTAGGGATTTGTTGGGAACATGTTTTCAATTCTTGAGTACTAGAGTTTCTAAGAAACAGCTAAAAGCATAATTTTTGCGAGGGTTCCAAAGATCAGTATAGGCAAGAGTGCTTTCCACCGACGCCGCTGGATCCTTTCTGGCAGAATCTTTCGGTGCTAGTTCCTGTTTTGAGGGTTTAGGGTTTAGGGTTTAGGGTTTAGGACTCTCTTTCACGTCAAACGAGTCTGGACATCGAGGCGGTTCTGGTTGACCCTGAAACCCAAGCCAGTCTAATGAACCCTGCTCGGCAGTCATGGGGGTTTAGGTTTTAGGGGTAGTTAGAACTGTGGTTGGAATCTTGACTGCTAACTGCCCGTGCACCTGCGAGCAGACACTAAACCTGTCCCTTTGGGGCTCATCCGTCAACCTGAACTTAAATCTACCCACGTTGGTAGTTCTTTTTTATAAGGTGCTGCACTTACTGTATGGGGGTGTGCGAAAATAGGGTGCCCCCAATGTATATATATATATATATATATATCCCCAAATTAGTAGGATTCCCTTTCAACAAGCACCCCTAATTTTGGAAACCCCATATATGAACCCTAAACCCTAAACCCCAAACCCCCAAAAGGGAGCACCGAATTTCGAGAAGCGACCCCCCATGGTGCCTTCAAGTACAGGTACCCCTTGGGGTATGGGAAGTGTTGTCGCGATCCTGCGGCTCGGAAGCAGACATTTTGAAGTTTAGGGTTTAGGGTTAGGAGTATAGGGTTTAGGGTTTGGGGTTTAGGGGTTAGGGTTTGGGGTTTAGGGTTTGTTTCGGGTTTGGGGTTGAGGGTTTGCGGTTTATGGTTTGGGGCTTAGGGTTTAGGGTTTGGGGTTTCTGGTTTGGGGTCAGGGTTTAGGGTGCTGCTGGACGAGGGAGCTCCACTTCTGGTAGCTTAGGGTTTGTTGTGGAACTGGGTGCCCAGAATCCCCTAGTAGTGGGTGCAAGACAGCAGCCCAAACAATCCCTTCTCTAGTTACAATCGAAGCTACCCACAATGCCAACTCTATACCCTAAATTCCTATACACTACTTCCACCACAAAAGTACGACCTTGGGTTTGTTGGGGGTTTACTGGGGGACGCTCCGGGAAGGTGTGTGAACCCTAAACCTCCGGGAAGGTGTTGGAACCCTAAACCCTACACCCTCCACCCTAAACCCTAAACCCTAAGCCCTAAACCCCAAACCCTAAACCCTAAACCCTAAACCCTAAACCCAGGGCAGCCGATGGTACAAGGCCCACATGGAGGTGGCCTGTTGGGACGCACGTGTTGGCATCACCTTCGAGAGCTTTAGGTGCTGAGTAAGTAGCTTTTTTGGTTTAGGGTTTAGGGTCTTTTTTCTCATCTTTTTGGGCACTACAAACCCCGAACCTGGAGGTTTGCCTCCCTAAACTTAGGTTTAGGGTTCACCTAAACCCCTAAACCCAGCCTAAACTCTGGAAACCTTAGACCTGGACACTTTGCCCACCCACACAGGCGAGCGCAGCCACATAACAAGACTGCCTCTACCCATGTGACGCACTGGCCCTAAGGGCTGCCAGTCTTGCAATCAAGGTCACAAACGGATGGGTTTCCTCCCACTCACATAAACCCTAAACCCTAAACCCCTAAACCCTAAACCCAAGGAACTGCTGCATCTTTGAGTTTGGCCCAACGCTGCGCGGATTGCCCTTCTCCAGCCACGAGCGGCCGGCAGCCCTGCCTCTTGGCTTGGGTGGGGGTTTGGGGTTTGGGGTTTAGGGTTTGGGGTTTAGGGTTTCGGGTTTAGGGTTCAGGGTTTTGGGTTTAGGGTTTCGGGTTTATGGTTTAGGGTTCTGGGTTTAGGGTTGCGGGCTTAGTGTCGAAGAGCCTACGGGTAGTTGTGTTATCATGTTAATTCATGCCTTGTCATTCCAGCACATTTTCGTCATCTTACAATGACATTGTATCATTGTATTTGTATAATAGCGTGTAATAAGGTTGTTATGAGTATATATCAGCGTATTGCTAGATTATTTTCTGATTGCACATTAATACACTACTACATATGTTATTGCAATATAACTTCACCATTAGATTATTACATGATTGCATCATTGCAGTACTACGTGATTACATGACTACGAAGACAGTATTGCATGATTACATGATTAGAGTACTGCATTCTCATATTGCTATATGTCATATCCTTCCGTTCTTTGTAGGGTTCAGGGTCATCCTTAGATGAAGGAGCGCGCGCCTGTTCCTCATGATCTCCTGTGCTTTTCAAAAACATCTGGCCAGTTCTGTAATTTCTGGTCCCTTTTTGGGGTACCGGGCCGGCTTCTCATAAGGACACCAAAAAAGAACCAACTTTTCGAGAAGTGACCATTTGTAAGCCTGCCTTAGGCCACTAAGTTTCTGCGAGAAAAGGAAAGCACACATAATTATGCACAAGTCTTAGATCTAGTGCACCTGTCATCTAAAAAAAAGAATGGCACCTTCACTTTAAGACTCATGCATCTAGTTGCTCCAGCGGTAAGACTCATGAAACGACGAGCAACAGACCCCCCTTAAATAAGCTAGTTTCGTGCACGAGTTTGCAAATTAGCATATTCAATTTAGTGAGTGAGGAAGGGTCCCTTCACGAAGATACCGGCCTGGAGAACGAACTGGGTGATGAATCCCTAAGCCCCTACACCCTAAACCCTCCCTAAGGGTCCATGTACCCATCTAGTATATACTTGGGGCTTAAAGGGGTTCCCATATGGTAGCTTTCGGGCCCGAATATGTACTATATAGGTACATGGACCCTTACCCTAAACCCTAAACCCTAAACCCTAAACCCTAAACCCTAAACCCTAAACCCTAAACCCTGACAAAGGACTGAATTTGATCTGCCGGTGGCTGGCCGCCTTCGAATGAAGTCGGGCCTCGATGTCCTAAAGACTGAGGAGGGGTTGTAGGGTGTAGGGCTTTAGGGGGTATATGTCTTGCAACAAGGGACTAAGGTTTCAGGGATTAGAGTTCACGTTTTAGGGTGTAGGGTTTTAGGGGGTATATAACTTGCAAAAAGGGGGTAGGGTTCAGGGTTCAGGGTTTAGGGTTTAGGGTTTAGGGTTTAGGGTTTAGGGTTTAGGGTTTGGGGTTTAGGGTTTAGGGTTTGGGGTTTGGGGTTTGGGATTTAGGGTTTAGGGTTTAGGGCCCTATAACCCCCAACTGAGGGTAATTGAGTGTTTAGGGCCTTGAGATCTTAGGGCTTTCCATCTTTGGGTTCAGGCGTTGAGGGGTACTCAAGTCTTTATTTTTCCTGTCATCTGTTCGAAGCTTCTTAGGGCAGTTACATGTATAGGGTATACAAGGGGTCCCCCCTTTCTAAGGGCCCATACTAAGGGACCATGTAACCCTAAGCCCCAAACCCTAAACCCTAAACCCTTTGATCCCAAGCTGTAGGAGTTTGCAACCTTCTGGCCTGGGGGCTGGATCTTTGCGCGCTTGACCGTGGACGTGCGCAGTGCCTGCGGTCCTAAACCTGAACCCTCCTAAAGTTCAGGGCTTTAGGCTTTAGGCTTTAGGCTTTAGGCTTTAGGCTTTAGGCTTTAGGCTTTAGGCTTTAGGCTTTAGGCTTTAGGCTTTAGGCTTTAGGGTTTAGGGTTTAGGGTTTAGGGTTTAGGGGCTTAGGGCTGAACTGTAGAGAGCCCTAAGAGCCTTGGGCTGTCTGTTGTAGTCTTCACCAGGAACCTTCCTACCTCCTGGGCTTCTTCTTGAAAACCCACGCAGCAAACCGAAAACACAAAAAGCCTTGAACCCAAGCCCTACAATTGCCCTAAAGGCCCTAGAGACTCCAAACCTGAAAACCCAAAACTCCAAGCCCTATACTTAAGGCACACGTTCTGCGTTTAGGCGTCGGCTACTATTTGCTTAAGATTCCCTAAAAAATGAAAGCATTCTTCTTTATAAGGGCAATATGGGGATTATTATCTTTTGCTTTCTGGGGGTTCTTAGGCAAATAGTAGTCGACAGGCTGCTCTAAATCAGGGCCGCACCAACGGGGGTAACAGTTTGACAGGGCAAGGGCCACACCCACCGCAGAATACTGCAGAACCCCGCGGGGGGTTCTGCAGAACCCCCCCCCCCACACCATATTATGATTATAATTATTATTAATAATCGTACTATTAATAATAAATATTATTAATATTATTATGAATACTATTTATACTATTATTAATATTATTACTACTATTAATAATATTAATATTATTAATATTAGTAATATTAGTAATAATATTATTAATATTATTAATATTTATATTTTTATATTAATAATATTATTAATGTTACTAATGTTATTATTAATTATTAGTATTATTGATATTAATATATTATGAATTTTTAAATATTGTAAATATTTTTTATATAAATATTATCAATAATATTAATTACATTACCAATATTATTAATATTATTTATTTATATGGAATCATATTAGTATTAGCATGTATTTAGTAATATTTGTAACAAGAATGACATCTTTTATCATATAAATTTTATAGCAAAGATATAGCATACACAAATATTATAAAGAGCTAAGTTACAGTGTCATTGTCTCTGGAATAAATGCAATAGGTATGTGAACCTGCAGGCTCACAGTGAGTGTCAGCGGCTCAGTTCAAACTGGCAACCCCGAACTCCCCAGTGTCATGCCCAGAACCCTTGGGGGGGTAACTTTTCCGAAGAACCTGTGGACATGCCTTTCAGTGTCTAAACTGATGGTCATCATGCAGGCTCACCGTCAGTATCAGGTAATGCTCAAATCATTCCTGCACCCTCAAGCGTTTTTGCGTCATGCTTCGCATCACTCGACTCCAGCCAGCGTCACTGCCAGAGATTGTGGCAGAGTGGACATCCTGGTCACCGTCAACCCGCTGGGGGCCCCATCAGCCAGCACGACTTTTTTTTTGTAGCAACCCCACCCATTCATTAGGGTCAGTCTAGCTTAGCTCTATCTACAGCAGCAGGAGATATTCGCTGCATAGCGTAGTGTCAAATAAGTATATCTACAGCAGCAGGAGACATTCGCTGCATAGTGTAGTGTCAAACAAATAAATAAGTATATCTACAGCAGCAGGAGACATTCGCTGCATAGCGTAGTGTCAAATAAGTATTATATCTACAGCAGCAGGAGACATTCGCTGCATAGTGTAGTGTCAAAGAAATAAGTATATCTACAGCAGCAGGAGACATTCGCTGGATAGTGTAGTGTCAAAATAAGTATATCTACAGCAGCAGGAGACATTCGCTGCATAGTGGTGTCAAATAAGTATAGGTATTAATTAATTTTACTGTAGCAACCCCGCCCATTAGGGTCAGTCTAGGTATCTGTACAGCAGCAGGAGACATTCGCTGCATAGCCTAGTGTCAAACAATTGGCATTAAGTTTTTGGGCCTGGGCTTGCAGCAGAAAAACTATAAAAAGTAAGGCGGCATGCAACATGCGCTGGGCTAGCTGTTATTTGAACAAGAGTCAGTGTATCTTCCGCATAGGATTTATTGTGCTGTACTTGGCTAGTTAGTTAGTTAGTTAATGACCCCCAGCCCTAAGCAGAGTCACAGTCTCTTTTGGGAGTGGTTGGGGTAATTGCTCGGTCTGGTTAGGGCTCAGGGTCCCCAGCAGGCAAGTCTTTGAGGGCTGAGAGAGTCAGGTCTATCTGTGATAGTGGGCTCACAAGAGTGGGTTCAGGGTTGAGGGTTTGGGGTTTTGGGGTTTCAGGTTAATGATAGGGTTGAGTTTAGGGTCCTAGCTAACTTAGCTTACCACGCGTCAGTCAGAAGTTTCGCTCACTGGAAAGTGTCACGTAAGCATTAAATAAATAAGAACGCTCCCGGCCCCGCCGCCCAGGCGGCAGCGTCACAACTGCTCTGTCGTGCTGGCCAACAGCAGCAGCAGCTGGGCTGCCACATCTGGAGAGTTAGGGGACTTGTGTTAGGTGTAGCGCTTGCCTCAGGTCACGAGTCACTATTTCTAATCTAGCAAAGGTGAAGGGCATTCCGCTGAAGCGTATATAGTCAGCAAGAAATCAGAGTCTGGGGTGGGAGGTTTGCAGCAATCTTGTCATTCATGGGAGTGAGGTTTTGAGAGCCATAAATTGAAGCAATCCTACGCAGATCATTTTGGATTTCAGCAGCGTCGCCCACCACAAGTGTCAGAGTCAAGATGTGGGATCCATGGTGGGGATGGGCGCCAGTGCATCCAGCAGCCTTTGACTGGGGGCCGCCTCCTTCTCGTCCTGCGCAGCCACCGCAAAATCAGGGTCAAGGGAACAGGCCGGGTTTGTCAGACCAACGTCCAAACTGTAAGCAGAATTCAACATAGAACTTTTTGAGGGGCATGTGGTCACTGCGTGGCAAGCAATAAGGTCGGATTTCTGAATTCTTACGATAAGTTAAGGAACAAATGAATGAACACTGAATTTGTGTGGCAGGAGCGCGTCCTCAGCAATGCGAGGGTCAGCTCACGCCAGTGCACTGACCATGAATGACTCCCTCCAGAGTCAAGTCAAGCAGCTGTCCGAGAGTCTCACGTGCCTGCACGAGGAGAAGCAGCGTCACAAGGAGGACTTGCGAGTTGAAAAGACATGTTGTCGATGTGTTTTCTGTTTTGGTCTGGCTGTAATCATAATATCAAGTCTTATTTTAACCTTACAACTACTGGTGCTTGATTCTGCTCCTGGTTGCAGGATCACGACAAAGAAGTTCGCGAGCTGAGGGCCAAGCACGCCAAAAAACTGGCAGAGCAAGATGCAGAGTCAATGAGGAAGATCGATGAGGCCAAGGCTACTGCCAAACGGAAAGTGTCAGAGCTCTCCCAAGACCTCAAGGATTCCCAAGCCAGAGAGTCAGCGCTCAAGACGAAGGTGCAGGACTGGGTGTTGGGTGAATCCATAATATAACAACGCAAAAAAAACAGTGCAACTGTTCAAGTTTACTAGCACAACGGATGAGCCCAAAGTCATTGTAACATAACGATTTTGAATTATTTGGCACATTGTATATGTATGATTTCAGGAGCTGGAGAGTCAGAACGCCAAGCAGAAGAAAGAGATTGAAGCCGAGCGTCAGAAACGTGAGCAAGAGTACCAAGTCCGGCAGCAGCTGCGGAGTGACGTAGAGTCAAAGGATGGCCATTTGAGAACAGTCATCAACCAGTGTCACAGTCTGAGGATGGAGGCAAATGAGGCGATTGCAAACCTCAGGGTCAAAGAAGACCTTTTGGCCCAGGCGGTTGCCCGTGAAGCTTGGCTCAAGGAGCAGCACAAGCGTTAGTGTCAGCAGCGCCAGTGTGTAAATTTACAATCATCCAGAGCAGCGTGTTCTGTCAGAAGCATTGTTCTTTAAGCTGACACCATGCACTTGTGCCGCTCACGGTCAGAGACTGTCAGTGGCTGCGAGCTGGCCAACTGGGAAAAAACAGGAGTTGACCTGAGTCAGTGCCAGTACTCTGAGCCAGTAATATTATTGTCAATAAAATTGTAATGCCTGTCCGCCTGTCCCATCCAAGATGCCCTGTCTCAATTATAGTCAGATAGAATAAATCCGAAGTCTAATCAATCAAATATACTTTTACACAATCAATAATCCTGCTTAGCTCAAGTATTTTCACTGAAGCAAGCCCAGCCCAGGCATGGCCACTTCCAGCAACAGAGCCAAAGCTGCAGCCTCAGAGTGAGAGCCCTCTGTGCACAGCGTCAGTGTGTCACTGTCACTGCGCTGTGACTCTGAGTCTAGTCCTAAAAACTTATAAGACTTAATCTGCCTGAGAAGAGTCATTTCATTTGTGACACTTGCTTCAGCTTCGTTTCTCAATGTTGTCCTTCTCATTTGCAACAAGGTCCAGTGTCGCCAGCAGCCCTGCCACACTGTTCACTGCAGAAGGCGCCCCAATAATCAGTCATAATAATTGCTCTGTGGTGCATCAGAGAGTCACTTGATGTATTGATTGAATCATTGAAGCCAGGGCTGAAGTTCACAGCGTCAGACATTATGTCATATTAGTAATTTGCAGGTGACTGTCAGACTTGAGCCACTTCTGCTGCCCTTTTTGCTTCAATCTTGGCAGCAGCAGGCAGCCTGTAGTAGGGTCAGCGTCAATGGCAAGACCCACAGACAGGAACAGCAGCGTCGCCTACAAGAGCTTGCCCCCAAACTATCAGGGCGTCGCTGACTTGACGGAGCTTGACAGAGGGGTCACGCAGGCTGCACCACTGAAAGTGCCAGTGTCAGTACAGCAATGAAGCATCAGCAGCTGTGTGTACACGTGTGTGCGTGTGTGTGTGTGTGTGTGTGTGTGTGTGTGTGTGTCTGTCTGTGTGTCTGTGTGTGTGTGTGTGTTGGGAAGGCCCTGTACCTCCTCCACTGCCTCCACCCAGCAGCGTCAGCTGATATCACGCGGCACTTGAGAGACCACTCGCACGAGCCACCCAGCCAAGAGAGTTTGTTCAGTTTCTATTCAAT